TCCTGTACCTGAAAATGATATTCCCATATAGGGTGAGCCACAGCCCAGTAGAAATACACTAAACCAACCATGAACAATGACTAAAACATTAGCAATTGATAGTTGGTCAACACTGATACAATCACATAAATATTTCAGGGCTTAGTGAAGTGTAGAGGGAACTGCTTTGAGGTGGCGCAACCACAGTCTGCCCATAATAACATTGTATAGTGAAGGTAGTTTTTATAACAAGAAACCACACCTCAATTGTCTTACTTCCAGCTTTCATGGGGAGGACTATGGATTTGATGGGGTATTCCAGATTCATGTTGAAGTCGAATAAAGGATTCTGTGATGGCTTCAAGTTATCTTCTTTGAGGCTGAGTTTCTTAAAAGTTTTGTAGTACATGATCTCTGAAAGTTTTGTAGTACATGATCTCTGAAAGTTTTGTAGTACATGATCTCTGAAAGTTTTGTAGTACATGATCTCTGAAAGTTTTGTAGTACATGATCTCTGAAAGTTTTGTAGGCTGAGTTTCTTAAAAGTTTTGTAGTACATGATCTCTGAAAGTTTTGTAGTACATGATCTCTGCCACACTATCCTGGTCAACCAAGATCTTTTCCACTGAATACTTGTTTATGCGCAAATTGATCACTAGAGCGTCATCATCGGGGAGACTGACCCCAATGAGATCTTCTTCAGAGAAGTTGATTATGTAGTCTAGACAGCGCTGTTGGCACTTAGAGTCCGACTTGGCATTTTGTAACTAGATTATTAAGTTCATGTCCATTATCCTAGCATCTCCTTGAGTGGCTGAAACTCTTTGTGGGTGAGCAACCTCATAGATATCGTGGAACACACCGATAGGGAAGAATCCGGCCTTACCACGAGTTCCTTTCATAGGATACACTTTCCTTTTTCTCCTGTCCGCCTTGACAAATATTCCTTGAGATGTCCATTCTTTATCAACTCTTCAAGGTAGTTCTTCAGAGCGCAATAATTCTCAGTGAGGTGCCCATGATCCTTGTGATAACTGTAATACTTATCTTTGTTACACTTTGTTAGGATCTCTGCCCATCTTCAGGAACCAATAGAAGTATAGCCGAGTCTTGATATGTGTTATGATCTTGTAAACAGGTTTAGTGAACTCCGTATATTGGCGGCTTTTGAATGTTCTTGGGGACGTGACTTGGTATTGCTCTTCTTGACATCGAGATCCCTTTCTTGGGTCACTTCTTGTATTACGCCTCTAGGGCATTGAGACGTCCTTCAAAAACTTGTCATTGGTGGCGGGTGAGACCGCCTTGAATGGCTCATCATCAATCAAAAGCAACCTCAACAGATGGACGAACTATAGCCAATGAAAATCCTACAAGAAGAGACCCTTCGCGCTTACTCCAATCGGCATTGGGAGTGCTATAATGGGATCGAGCATTGTAATGAGTCCATGGCTAACAAAGCTCTGAAAATGGGACTTCAGGAAGATAGTGCCTTGAGGCAAGCCCTAAATCGTTAGGGAGATCAAATCTTAGAGAGAGTGTAAGTTTAGGGAGAGAGAGTGTCGAATTTAGGTTTTGCTCAAAGAAAGGGACTGAAAAAGTAATGTTTTAGACGCTGCTGTCCGCTGATATAAAACACCCTCGCTCGAGCGAAGTATTGGTCGCTCGAGCGACCAGACACAGAAAACTCTCGCTCGAGCCAAGAAGTTCTCGATCGAGCGAAGAAAAACCCAGACCGCTCGAGCCACGAAAAGCTCGCTCGAGCCAGAAACTACAACTCTCAGGTCCAGAACCGGGGCAACACTACTCTCGCTCGAGCGACAAACTCCTCGCTCGAGCGAAGGACCAAAAATCTGGGCAGCAACACTAGGCTCCCAAGCACAACCAACCTGTAACAAACCTGCCCAACACATCCCATAACTCAAAATGCAAAGTAAAGATGATGCAAACTAGGAAATAAACAACTACCAACATTCACGGACACATGTCCGGATCACTGTACAACAAGGATAAACCCGGGATCGCTATATGTAACCATGGACTTTTCTCATAACTTTCGTTCGAGTTAGTGTTATGACCACATCTGGTTGTGAGGTGACGCATTTTGGATCCTGCATGATCATGATTCATCCCTTTGCATAAGTCATATGCCTTCGAGGATTTATTGACATGTGAATCCTTGCATTTGCCAGCCTGTCAACTCTGTGAGGTGCGATCCCTTTTATTGCTGTTGGAGGTCCTTGCCTCTTCTAGTTCCTTTAGTAGGCACTAGGTTCTCCAAGGCCATAACTTCTATCTTCTTTCTATCTCCCTAGACGCGATCAGAAAGCGCCTGAACAGAGTTATCTAAAATGATGTCGCCTGCTTCTACTCTGAGTTTTGAGATATCGCCCTCATATTGGATGGGGCTGGTGGGGTTGTACTAGTAGGTTCAATTGGCAATTTCCTTGATGCAGGGTTTACGATGTTCTCATTTCCTGCCTTCATAGATAGGTCACACTAGTGGAGGTTTTCTCATCAACAATGCCAATTGTGGTGAGTTAGAATTTTTGTCTTCTTGTTACCAAGAGGATAATCCACTTTACGTCATATACCTGCAAACAGAGAATAGGTTCCAGCGGGGTGGTGCGCCAAGTGAACCCTTCGAAGATATTATCATCCTCTCTCTTTGGTTCTCTTTTTTTCACTTACCCTAACTTCGAGTGTGGATTCTCTATTTATAGGAGTTCCTCCTCCTCGCATTATTGTCCTTGGTTTGAACATGTCCTATCTCGTTAATTTTTCCTCTATCGATGTAACATCTTCTTTTCTCGTAATCACCTTTTGACAATTCTTACTTTTTTGCCGATTTTGAAAACTACTTCTTGGCATGCGCGTGCGTGGCTGATGCACATTTGTGACCCCTTATGATTCATGCTTCTTAGTAAAGCAATGCCAATTACTATAGGCTTTAATTTTGGTTACAACAATTATTGACGTACAAATATTTGTGAATTATGTGTATGCGTTTTATATAGTATCTACAATTTCCCATCTCTCCTCAATTGTTTCTCTTATGTTTATCATATTTTTAGAATTAAAAAAAAAAAGAAAACAGAAGAAAATAAGTTTTTGGTAGAGAGAGCCTCAATGTACATAAAACACCTAAGTTGTATTTGGTTTATAAATTTAGAGAGGAACTAAGAAAGGGAAAAAAAAGTAAAAGAAAGTGAAATATGAATAAAATATAATTATATTTCAATTATATTTTACACATTTTTTTTTTCTTTTTTCAAATCTCCTCACAAATTTATGAATCAAACATAGCTTTAGGTTGTGTTTGGTTCAAGGATTTGGGAAGGAATTTAGAAAAAATAGGTGAAATATAAATAAAATATACTTACATTTCACATAATTTCACACGTCTTTTTTATTTTTCTTTTCAAATCTCTTTTAAAATCTATGAACCAAATACAATCTTAGAGTATTTGGTGGAACTTCTAAGGGTCGCTTGGGATATTGGTTGGGGCTAAATTAGCTTACAAAAAGGCAAATAGGTTAAAAATCACAAAATATCACATTTAAACAATAATTATTTCATTTTTTTTTCTCACAAAATCATAAAAAAGTTAAAAAGTTTATCCCAAATAAATTTTTTTAAGACAAGCTAAAATAACCAAAAAAAATCAAGCTAAAAATTTTTATTCCAACCGACCCCAAAATTGACTTCGTAAGCTCACAAGTCCTACAAGTTATATGTTTGTTTGGTGAGATTTTTAGAGGGATTTCTACGGTGAGGGCATCTATTGAAATTCCATTTTGTTGCCTAAGTCGCGGAGAGTGGCTTCTCGAAAGAACTGGGCGAGAAGTGAATCTTCAATTCTATGATAATTATTAAAATTTTAATTTTGCCATCAAATACTATTATATTAGGCCTTTACTAACCCTAGTGATTATTAAATTCCAAAATTAATTTTTAATATTTTTGTTTTTTACATTCTGTCTTTAATAATATATATATATATTTATAAATTTAGTTGAATATTTATTAATTTTTAGATACATCTAATGCTTCTAAATGGTAAAATTTGTGAAGAAATTTTTTTAAAAAAAAATTTGCTAAAAATGAAAAATATTTATTAGTGTTATTTTTTTTTCTTTATTGAATTATATATATATATATATATATTTAAATATTTTTATTTTAAAGTACATTTGCATTAAATGCATCAAAATAAAAAATCACTAAAAAAAATTATATAAAAAACATATAACTTAAAGATAATTTTCACAAAACTAAACAAAACAGAGATTTCCCCAATTAAAAAAGATTAGAAAATGTTGAGTGTTCATTGATTCATATGCTTTTGTTTTTTTTTTGAGCCAAATATTTTTTGGTATTTATTTCAATCAAATTAATTTATATTTTGTTTCAAAAAAATGCAGAAAATAGATTTTGAAAAACAAATGAAATAAAGTGATTTGACTTTTGTCTCTGTTTAAAAAAATTAAAAATGATCATTGAAAAAAACAAAGCCTTAGCATTATTCATCTATATTTTAAGCTTCTGTTTAAATTATGAATAGATTGGAAATGGAAAAAAAAAAAAAGGGTTGAAATTTGAATGAATTATATTTATTTTCCACCTATATTTTAATATTTGTTGAGTAAATCATCTGTAAAAAAAAAAAACACCTCACAACACAACCATTTGTATTTAAAAAAAAATGAACGGTTAGTATGATTTTGTTGATAAATTTTTTTTAAAAAAATAATCAAGACTTGATCATGGGCTATAAATATCCAATTAACCTAATTTTTATTTTTATTTTTATGAATAATATGTTTGATATACCATACAATGTGAATAATTCGGATCATCAAATAGATTAAGCTTAACAATAACCTTATCCGTTTCTTTTTCTACCTAGTTATTGTCCATTTCTTTTTCATTTTTTATTTTCCTAATCCGCAAAAGAGAGAATTTTCTTTTCACTTTTTATTTCTCTTCTTTGATATCTCTGTTTTTGTTTTACCTGTAGATACAGATTGAAAATGCAAGCCGTACTGGATAAAATTGTAGAAGCAATAGTTGAGCCAGTGATCCAGTTAGTGGTGGTCCATGTTGGTTTTGTTTTTCAGCACAAGAAGCAGCTGAAGAACCTGGAAATTGAAATTAAAAACCTTGAAGAGCAGAGAAAAAAAATCAAAAAAGAAGTTGATGAAGCCATTACTCGTGGTGAAGTAGTTGATGAACCTGCTTCAATCTGGCTAGCAGAGGTGGAAAAAAGAGTTCAGAAAATTCAGGATGACAATACTATTAACGAAAACAGGCAGTGCTTTAAACTCTCGTGTCCAGATTACATCTCGCGCTACCGAATGAGCAAGGAAGCTGAACACAAGATTGAAGAAGTAAAAAATCTCACTAAGAGTGGCAATTTTAGCCCTGTTGTACATAGTAAGAAAAATGAAAAAGAAAAACAGAAACAAAAGAAGAAAAAAAAAAGAAAAAAAAGCAAAAGTGGATTGAAAATGTGTGCCCCGCAAGCCGTACTGGATAAAGCTGAGGAACCTGGAAGATGAAATTGAAAAGCTTCAAAGGCAGAAAACAAAAATCGAAGAAGAAGTTGGTGAAGCCATTACTCATGGTGAAGAAGTTAATAAAGATGTTTCAAAATGGCTAGAGGACGTGGAAAAAATAGTTCAGAAAATTAAAGATGACAATACTTTGAACGAAAACAGGCAGTGCTTTAAATTCTCATGTCCAGATTACATCTCGCGCTACCGAATGAGCAAGGATGCCGAAAAGAAGATGGAAGCAGTAAAAATCCTCATTCAGGATGGCAATTTTAGCAAAGTTGCAAATCCTAAGCCATTTGCTCAGGAACTTCAATTCCCATCATCAAGTGCAAACTATGCAAATTTTGAGTCGCGAAAATCGGTTTTCGAGAACATCATGGTGGCATTACAAGATTCTAATGTTAAAATGATTGGAGTATATGGAACAGGAGGCGTTGGTAAGACGACAATGGTCGAAGAGATTGGCAAACAAGTGAAAAATGGACTTTTTGATGAAGTCGTGGTGGCAGTTGTCTCTCAGGACGCAAATGTGAGCAATATTCAAGGGCAACTCGCTGATCTCTTGAGTCTGAAACTAAAAGGGGAAACTGAAGTGGGAAAAGCAAATGAATTGTGGAACAGATTGAACAATGGGAAGAAAAATCTCATTATATTGGATGATATGTGGCAAGAATTGAAGTTGAAGACAGTAGGGATTCCTATCACTGATGGAAACAATCGTTGCAAAGTTGTGATAACGTCTCGAATCCGAGGTGTGTTGGAAAAGATGCATGTTGATACATATGTTCCAATGCAAGTATTATTAGAGAAAGAAGCATGGGCCCTATTCAAAACGATGGTGGGAAATTCTGTTGACTCTCCTGAATTCCATGATATAGCTGATGTAGTCTGTAAAGAGTGTGGAGGCTTGCCGGTCGCTATACTTGCAGTTGGAGCCGCACTGAAAGATAAGAAAAAATATGTCTGGGAAGATGTACTTGATCAATTCAAAGATTCCATGCTAAAGAATATTGCGGGAATCGACCCAAAGGTGTATGCTTCCTTAAAGTTAAGCTATGATCGGTTAGAATCTAGTGATGCAAAATCATGCTTCTTGCTATGTTGTTTCTTTCCTGAAGATGCTAATATTTCAATTGAAGTGTTGGCGAGACACTGCATAGCGAGAAGTTTGCTTGGCCAAAACACAAATACACTAATAAGAGCAAGCCGTCGAGTACGCATAGTGGTCGATATCCTCAAAGATGCTTGTTTGTTGTTAGAAGGCAGAGATGAAAACTTTGTCAAAATGCATGATGTCATTCGAGATGTTGCTCTTTCAATTGCAAAAGATGATGGCAAGGAAATTCTAGTAAAACATGGTGACAAAAAGTGGCCCGAGAAAGATACATGTGAATCTTCCTCAGCAATGTCATTAAGGTTCGACAACACTCTTGAGCTTCCGGATGATTTGGTATGTCCACAACTCCACACCTTGACCATGCTATTGAAATGGAATATCAAGCATTTGCTTAATGTTCCAGATAGGTTTTTCAGTGGAATGGAGAAACTTACAATTTTAGAATTGAATAGAATCTGTATGTTGCCTCCATTATCTCTTGCAAATTTGGTTAACCTTCGGATGTTATGGTTAGATTATTGTGTGTTGGGAGACATAGCTATACTCAAGGATCTAAATGATAACCTTGAAATACTTAGCCTTCGAGGTTCTAATATCGAGGTTTTGCCATCAGAGATAGGACAATTGACTCGTCTTCGGTTGTTAGATCTGGGCAATTGTGACAAGCTCACAGAGATTCCACAAGGTGTCATATCCAATTTGTCTCGCCTGGAAGAATTATACATTTTAAATCCGTATTGGTGTTGGAAGGAAAGAAGCAAAGTGAATCTTGATGAGTTGGGGAAATTGACGCAATTAACCACTTTACAGATTCACATACCAAATGTCATGCTATTGCCCAAGGACTTCTGCTTTGAAACCTTGATCAGATTTGAAATAGTAATGGGTAAGGAATTTGGTTTTTCTGGAACTTATGAATCTTTTAGAATTTATTCAAAGTCGTGTAAACTTGCGGGTGTTTCCTTAATGGACAAGTTAATCGTATTGTTGATGAGAGCCGAACAACTACATTTGCAAAAAATTGAAGGTTTACAAGAGGTGCTGCATGACAGAGGTGCTCCATCAGGGTTCTTCAATAATTTAATTGAATTGACAATTGGAGATTGTAGGTTGAAATATCTCTTCTCCCTGTCCTGTGCAAGAGGATTTCCACGACTCCAGAGACTACGAATATTTGATTGTGAGATGATGGAAGCAATAGTTGGAATTGAAGAAGAAAAAGATGAAGATGAACTCTCAAGTCAGGTAATTAATTTCAGTCAGTTGAAATTTTTGGTTCTCGTGGATCTACCCAAGCTCATAAGCTTCTACCCCAAAGTGGAGAAGTTGTCAACATCTGAAGGAAATTCTTCTACCCAGGCACAATTTTTGTTTAATGAAAAGGTATGCTTTATCTGTACCCTTTTTATTTGCTTTAATCCATTATATCCAGTTATTATAAAATGTTTTATGCATTAGGAATACAATCAAACAGTGCTAGGGTATTTTCAATAAAAATCAAAATTGTTAATCCCTAAAAAAATCACCAAATGGTTGGTCACACTGTGGCAAGCATGAAATCATTACAATAAATTAAGATTTAAAAAATAAAAAATTATGAATAAAATTAATTTTTAAGAACAAAATATAGTGTCGTTGTTGTACATTTAGCGATGAAATTAGGTATTTAGGGATGAATTATTATCATTTTTTGACCAAAATTTGTCTAAAAAAGTGAATATCTTATGCACCAAATTGTTTTGTCTTAAAGTGTATTTATTAACCACATTTTTAAAATTTTGATACAAAAGTCTGTTTTTTGACTTTTAAACAAAAATTAGTCCCTAAATGTTTCTCCCTTCATTTTGGGGACAAAAATTTGATTTTTAAAACTCTTTCTCCCTTCCCTCTATAAATGAAGAGAAATATCAATTATTTCTATTATTTCATTTTCACGTCAAATTTAATTAATCACATTTTTTTGCCACCAAGTATTCCAAATGAAGTTTTAGGGATTGGTTTACTTTTAGATTTGCTACTAAACAAAACTAATGTGCTCCTAGCACCTACCCATAATCTATATGAAGTAAAATTTAGATGAAGCCCCAAAGCATTAATCTAAATTTTTTATTTTAAATGTTAAAAATACGCATTACTAGTTCAAATTTATGTTGACAGGTAAATTAACCTAGCAAAAAACTTATGCCAGCATGCTTGTGTTATTTTTTATTTTTTTATTTTTTAAAATTGATATAAGAATTATAAATATGAGAAATATTATATCAAATTGGGCAATTAAAATTCAACAGTAGACAAAACTATATATTGCATCAATGGAAAATGCCAACTGAGTTGTGATACATGCAGTAGCTTGAAAATTTCCGAAATTCTAACGTTTATGCTATGAAAAACTTTCGAGACTCTTAAAAAGGTTCTTTCAATTTGATCAACAATAATGGTATGATCTGTTAAGTGTCAATTTTTAATTTATCACAAATCTAGTCATATAAGACATAACTGTCTTGTCACATCATTTTGCATGAATTATAATAGTTAAATTGTGATTTTCTAATATTTCTATTATAAAATCTAATAGTAAATGGGATTCAAACTCAAACATGACCATCAAACCTAGACACCAGAAAATATACTCTTATTTAGGGAATTCTATAAGTTTTTAATTTCAATATTCTAGGTGGAATTTAAGGTGTTTTTAAGTCGGTAATTTCTACAATACACACCATTTAAAATGATTATTTTAGTTATGATTCATGAAATCATATGTATCCTAGTTATGTCATTTTCCTCTTTAGTTATGATCAATTTTCTTCTTTAGTTATGACATTATTTTAGTTCTGACTTATGAGATCTTTGGTTATACCTTATGCAGTGTTTGGTTATAAATATTTTTTTTATTTATTATTTTATTTTATTTTCTTTTAAGTTAAGACTCAGAAAGTATAGAATTATGTAATTTTTTTCTTTAGTTATAAAATGCATATTTAAAGAGTGTGTATCATAATATTTCTCATTTCTGTCTAAACAACTTTTCGCCATCTAAAAAAAAAAAAAAAAGTCTAAACAGCTTTCTTCAACACACCACATTTTCCTACTAAAAGTGAAGGATTATATAATTGTATGTTTTAACTGAATTTTGGCAGTGTAATTGATGAAATGAAGAATTTAATAACTTTGTTAAATTGTGTTAAGGTGCGGGAAAAATAATTATGGTATGACAATATTGTTTTTATTCTTTTTTAGGATAAAATTGTATTATTATATTTTTTTTTAAAAAATCTGTAATGATCTACTCTTCAACTAAATGTTTTAAAATAATAGAGCATTGATAGAGACCCCCTCCAATCACCACCCCCACCACCCCCCACACACACGTGGCGGGTGGTGATTGGAGGAGAAGGAAAAAGAAAAAAAAATAGAAAAGAAAACTGGCCAATAAGAGGGAAAGGGAGTCTCAAACGTTTTTGAAAATAATATTGTCATGCTAAGAGTGGGAACAGGCCATATATTATTAATAATAATATTTGATGTTATAATAAAACTCAATAAATTATAATAGTCAAATATAATAAATAATTTATACAAAAAAAATTTCAAAAGTATAAAAGAAAAACCCAAACAAATATACAAGGAATAAGATTCAAACATGAGTATGACGATTATCCCTTGATAAGATCCAGTATAATATTTGTCAATAGGAGTAAGGATCCCTAAAAAACAACCTTTATTGAGAAGGATCCCTAAAAAACAACCTTTATTGAGAAGGAGGAGGATCTCCTGCTATTTGAGCCCGTGAGGCCCACTACAGGTCCCATTTCTATGATCTGAACCGTTTATTTTGTTACGGACTTCATTTATTTCATCCACAAAAAAAATTAAGTTGATCTCATAACTCTTAACTTGTTCAATTTTTCACTAAAAAAATAGACAATAATTATGCTTTTTAAAGTAAATCATACATTTTTTTAGTGAGAAACGTAATAAACTGGACATGTTATAATTATGGAATCGACCTAATTTTTTGTGTAGATGAAATACACAAAGTGCCTGACAAAATAAACGGTTCGAATTATCAAAATAGGACCCATGATGGATCTCACAGACCCAAACAACACCCTTCAATCCAATCCAATCCAATCCAATGGAGAAAAGTTATTGTGGAGAAGGATGAAGGTAAAGGATTTGAATATTTACCTTGGAAAAAGTGTTAGAAAAGGTAAAATTGTGGGCCTTGATTGTAAAGACAGTAAGTTCAGAAAATTGTGGTAGGAAATATGATTTTAAAAGTTAGATATGGATTAAATATTAACTTATGAATTGATGTATGGTTTAGGTGATTTGCCATTAAGCTTTTCTCTCACAAGAATGCAATCACGGAAGTATGGAATGGGTATTGTGTGTGCTAAAATTTGATGACACAACTAAATTGCATCCTCTATAAAGATTCAGTGAATAAAGTCAAAAAGTACGTGCACTAGATGGAATTCAAAATTTGAAACAAAGAACAAAAGAGCTAAACCAGTTGTTACCAACTGGGAGGGCACTCCGACGATTAAGTTAGTAACAATATATCTCAAAGACTATCCAACAGTAACAACTCAAGCAATTAACTCACCAGTAAAAACGTACATTTAACCCACATGTGCCTTCTTTTATATGAGAACCAGTGCCCTCCTTATCTTATAAATCTTACTAAACTTGTTCTCTACAAAAATAACACTAATCCAGGACTAATCTATCCTAGTTGGATTAGGATAGACCTCTCACATGAGTCTCAACTTATCCAACCTAAGAATTTGTCTTCTACAAAGACTCAAGTTCTACTCCGAATATCTCGAATATAGTGTGATAGAATCACATCTCAACCAATCACAATCATCCATGCGGTACATCAGTTAACAATCAAGCCACATGCATGATGCAAGTCCTCAATGGAATCAAAAGCTTAGGAGGGACTTGTTTGTGTAGTAAAGGGAGATGCTGGTAGAATTGTATAATCTAATTGGAAACGTCTATCTAGTGGCCAATGAGGAAGATAAATTGTTGGGAAACTGGAGAAGGGTGCATTGTTCACAGTCAAATCATTTTGCCAACAGTATGCAAACCTTTTGGCTTGTAATGATGCTTTTATTAAAGTTGTTTGAATTTTTTTTTTGTTTGTTTTTGGGTCCTCCCACAGATTTAGATTTTTGAATTGATAACATTGCCAACTAGAGGAGGTCAGAGATTAACTCCCACAACCTTGCCATTATGAAAATGTTACTTGCCCCTGCCCAAAACATCTTACGAAACTTCTTGGAAGTTCAATCCCAACCATTGAGCCAATTTAAAAACTACATTAATTGATAGACTATGCATACTGGCTTGAGTTGTTACTAGCAATTAACCAATAACAGCTTAAAGCTCAATCAATTTTACTTTAGTGTTTTATTTATTATATCAATATGAAAAACACAAAAACTAAACACATAATATAATGTAGATATCTCACATGGGGTGAGGTCCCTAGGATGGATCTAGCAGGGTGCGGAGGAAGGCGGCCACACCCCCCAAAAATCTGAAGAATATTATATACTATGCTAGAAAATCTAAAATAATTAAAATAATAATTTACACCTCCAAGAATATTTTTGCACCCCTATATTGATAATCCTAGATTCATCCTTGAACATAAGAGGTCCACATGATGTGAGACCTACCTTCTATGATACATCTGTATCTCATTTTTTGTTTAATCTTCTACTTACTTAGGCTGAGTAATCTTGCGACCATGATTTTCTATTTCGATCGATAAAAATTCTACAAGAGTCTCATAACAGTGCAAATTATTCCATTCACACCATACTAAAGATCAATTAGGCAACTTAGAAATGAGTGCGTCTTCAAGGCAGCTAACCCAAACTGGTTTGAGTTGTGTGAGTTGATCAAGACTAGGATTGCTCTGTGGTTGAACCCACACCAGAAGGATTTTAATTTCACAATCAATGATTTCATTTGTAATATAAGTCAGATCAGGTTGTGCTTGGAGGAGCATTATTGCCTTGAGTTGGGATGAGCCCAGTTGGCTTGAGGCAGAGAAACTCTGTTCTGCTGCAGTTTTTTTTAGTGTTGTCCCTGTTTGCTAGTTGGTCTCTCACCAACTTCGGGCTATGCTAGCATATGATCGGTAAGGCTTTGCGGTGCCAACTTAGTTGGGATGGTGATGGTCTTTTGTGATACTGTTTGCACTCCATCTTTGTTGATGTAATCTTTATGCTTGTAAATTTTTTTATCATCAATGAAGTTTTTTGGGCCGATCAAAGAAAAAAAAAAAATAGAATCGCAATTGACTTAAATGAGCTGAAAAACCTAAACAATAAAGCCATACTAGCAAAGGCACGTGATGATTAATTTTTTTTTTCTTTTTCCATAGGTCAAATACTTGCACACATCATATGATTTTCACTATTTAAAATTAAGGTAAATTATAAATACACTCCTTAATATTTCTTAAAATATAAATTACTTTTTATGGTTCCAAAAATTATAAATACCCCACTGTTAGAATTTTTTGTTTAAAATAATTAATAGAAAAAAAAATCTAACTACTCTCTTACATAATAATAAAATTACTTGAATAGTAAATTGAAATATATTTATGAAATTATTAAAAATATTAATTGACTTGATAATTTTATTAATGAAATAAGTGATTTGTTATACAACTGGAAACTTAAAAGTGCAAGATGTAATTTCTAAAATTACATGGGCAATCTGTATTTTAAGTAAACCTGAAATGGTGTGTTTTTATAAGGGATTTGTCTTTTTTGTAGTTGAAAGTTCAAATGGAATAGACAGTTAAGGTCTCCTACCGATAACAGTCATTAAACGGAGGTCTCTTACCAGTAAGAGTTTATGAAATGCATTGGCCCATTATTTTAACTCTTCATTTAGTTAAATCTTTTCATAAACTCGCAGCGGTAAGAGACCTTCGTTTAATGACTTTTATCGGTAAGAGATCTCAACTGTCTAGTCCAGTTGAAATTTCAATTGGAGAGAAACAATTCCCTTTCATAAAATCATAGAACACAAATTATCAAAGTCAAATAGAAAAAATCACGATGAAATGTGAAAATAATGTGAAGCTTGATTTTCTCTCATTTTGTACTTTTAATCTGCCGAACCCATCAATTTTGAGAGAGGGTGGATTTATAGTTGGTTGAAAGTTTCTTAATATATTCAATTGATGATTTGCTGTCAAAACAATCAAACTAACTCGTGCACAAAACCTATTGGACAATGAGGACAAAAGGTTGCACCAATGCAGCAAAAAGATTTCTTACTTCCAATCTATTATAGTTTCCATTACATAAAACAAAATCATATTAACTGTTATGGAACCAACAATTTAATTTTTGGCATTAATTGGAACATAGTAAAATAAATTTATTGGACTTCAATTATTGACTAATTAAGACTAACATAAATTTATTGGGCTATATTGTACTGCTTGTTATAATGCTGACCTTGGAGTCTAATGTTTAACAATTATGTTATGAATGTTGCAGATTACATTCCCTGCCTTGGAGAGATTGGATATTGAGGGACTAACAATGATAACAGAGATATGGGATAGGAAATTACTTCCATCAAAGTCTTTTCGACAATTGAGAGACTTGACCATCAGTAGGTGTGAGAAACTGGTGTATGTCGGTTTGTCCAATATGCCCCAACAATTACCGAAACTAAAAAAACTTGAGGTTAGATGTTGTCTGGAGCTGAAAGTAATAGTATCGAAGAATGGGGGGGAAGAAGAAGAAAAACCAGAAAGCAACAATAATACCAACTCGTTCCTTCAACTAACGATTTTGATACTTGCTGATTTGTGGAGCCTCAAAAGCTTTTTCACCTCTAGATCTGAAACACAATCCCTCTTCACTAGCCAGGTATGAATGTCCTCACCAGTTTTGGTTGCACATGACCAGCAAAACCAGAAACACAAATGTATATATACGCATATATATATATATGTATATATATGTATGCTTGTATGTATTTTACTTAGATTAGGCTTCTCTCGTGTCAATAATCTAGACTCAAATGTGTTATTCGGGCTCGTGGGCCCACTACGACTCTCTTTTTAATTATTCGAACCATGCATTTTTTAGGATTCTTCGTTTATATCATCCGCAAAAAAAAATTAAATCAATTTGATAATTTTAGCCTTTTCAATTTATCGTGTTTGTCATTAAACAAAAGGATGGTTTTTATTTTATTTAATTTTCTTTTTAAACACACTTATCATTCATTTTTTCAGATGCAATTGTAATAAATTAAATAGGCTAAGATTATTGGCTCGATCTTTTTTTTTAGATTATATACACTAAGGACCACAAAATGAAAAATTTAAATCATCAAAACGTGACCCATGGTGGACTCCCACGGCCCGAAAGGCACCCTTGTTGGCCATGTATTGATTTGTGTAGTTATTTTGAATCTTTCATATTTTCCAATTTAATACTTTGACATTTGCTTGAATATTACTATCTAAAAACTTGAAAAAATAAAATTGTAAAATTTAAGGTTTTAAATAAACCTCAAATGGTGTGTTTTTTAAAAGGGATTTGTCTTTTCTGTAGTTGAAAGTTCAAACGGAATAGATAGTTAAGGTCTCTTACAGATAACAGTCATTAAACAGAGGTCTCTTACCAGTAAGAGTTTATGAAATGCATTGGCCCATTATTTTAACACTTCATTTAGTTAAATCTTTTCATAAACTCGCAACGGTAAGAGACCTCCGTTTAATGACTTTTATCGGTAAGAGATCTCAACTGTCTGGTCCAGTTGAAATTTCAATTGGAGACAAACAATTCCCTTTCATAAAATCATAGAACACAGATTATCAAAGTCAAATAGAAAAAATCACGATGAAATGTGAAAATAATGTGAAGCCTGATTTTCTCTCATTTTGTACTTTTAATCTGCCGAACCCATCAATTTTGAGAGAGGGTGGATTTATAGTTGGTTGAAAGTTTCTTAATATATTCAATTGATGATTTGCTGTCAAAACAATCAAACCAACTCGTGTACGATACCTATTGGGCAATGAGGACAAAAGGTTGCACCAATGCAACAAAAAGATTTGTTACTTCCAATCTATTATAGTTTCCATTACATAAAACAAAATTATATTAACTGTTATGGAACCAACAATTTAAGTTTTGGCATTAATTGGAACATAGAAAAATCAATTTATTGGACTTCAATTACTGACTAATTAAGACTAACATAAATTTATTGGGCTACATTGTACTGCTTGTTATAATGCTGACCTTGGAGTCTAATGTTTAACAATTATGTTATGAATGTTGCAGGTTACATTCCCTACCTTGGAGAGATTGGATATTGGTGGACTAACAATGATAACAGAGATATGGGATAGGAAATTACTTCCATCAGAGTCTTTTCGACAATTGAGAGACTTAACCATTAGGAGCTGTGAGAAACTAGTGTATGTTGGTTTGTCCAATATGCCCCAACAATTACCAAAACTAAAAAAACTTGATGTTAGATATTGTCGGGAGCTGAAAGTAATAGTATTGAAGAATGAGGGGGAAGAAGAAGAAAAAGCAGAAAACAACAATAATACCAACTCGTTCCTTCAACTAACGAGTTTGATACTTGATGGTTTGCGGAGCCTTAAGAGCTTTTTCACCTTTAGATCTGAAACACAATCCCTCTTCACTAGCCAGGTATGAATGTCCTCATCAGTTTTGGTTGCACATGACCAGCAAAACCAGAAACACAAATGTATATATATATGTATGTATGTTTGTATGTATTTTAAACACACTTATCACTCTTTTTTTTTAGATACAATTATAATAAATTAAATAGGCTAAGATTATTGGATCAATCTTTTTTTTTTTAGATGATATACACTACGGACTTTACAAAATGAAAATTTTAAATAATCAAAACGTGACCCGTGGTGGACTCCCATAGCCCGAAAGGCACCCTTGTTGGCCATGTATTGATAATGTGTATTTATTTTGAATCTTTCCAATTTATTACTTTGACATTTGCTTGAATATTACTATCTAAAAACTTGAAAGAATAACATAGAAAAAATCAAAAATTTTATCCCTAAGTTGAGTTGTCATAGTTCATATAATATTTTCCTTTTTTGGGGTGTGTTTGAGAAAAATAATGCCACCATTTTATTGCTTTAGGCTATGTTTGGTTCATAAATTTAGAGAAAGATTTGGAAGTGAAACGGAAAAGATGTGTGAAATTTAGTTATACTTCATTAATATTTCACCTACTTTTTCTTTTTTCATTTCCAAACCACTTCCCAAAATCATAAATCAAACACAGTTTTAGATAAAAAAAAAAAAAAGGTACATGAGAAATAATCAAAACCTAACAAAATTACAAAAATGTAGAACAACGTAACAAAGAAACAAACATGACCCTAGTAGAACAAACTTAAAACATGATTTTTTTTGGGTAAGCAACTTAAAACATGATGACCAGATTAGTAGAAACCTAAAACATCTCTTAAATAGAAACCTAAAACATCTCCAAAGGCACAACAAAATATTGTTCAAGTTTAATTTGAAAAACTTAATGAGTTTAAAAATATATTTGAGTTTGTCCTTTTATTTTTTATCAACAAAAGATGATCTTTGTTTACCATTTGAGCCGAACACAAATGAGCTTTAATCGAACCGAGTTCAAATAACTTGATATTGTATTATACATTTAATAGTTTATGGAACTACGTTCGAGCTGAACTCAGAAAATTGATGATAAGTTTCAAAATATGTTCAATTTTAACTTATTTATATAATGAGTCGTTCTTAAAATAATTTTAATGTGCCCAACATAAGTGGAGTTCAAATAACTTCATTTATTTTACCATCTAACTTAAATAGATATGTCAAGAAAATGAATATTAAATTATATAAGCAATTATCAATATAAAAAGTAATCAAGGCACGTGATGAATTGTTAAAATAAAATTTTCTTCTTTTTCATAGGTCTAATACTCAAATCAACAACATAATTTACCTTACCTAAAAAATAACCAATAAAATTATGGAACACAGATTATTAAAGGAAAATAGAAAAATAATGATGAAAGATGGAAAACAATGTGAAGAGCTGACAACAAAAGGTGCTTTAGTTAATAATTAGATACTCCAAATATTTGAGAAGAATATGGGGATATGCAATTATCAAATTTCTTGCCTGTTGCTCTTCATTTGCACATAGCCACAAGTACAAAAGCTCATACATGATTAGAGCATGCCTTAAGGTATCTGATATATATAGGTTCATTGATTTTCTTTTGGGCCCTCAGCTCAAAATTTGTAAGTTTGTCTGGAATAAGCGTATTCCCCCCAAAGTTCAATTTTTTGGTTGGTTGGTTAGCTTGGAGGAATAGAGTTAAAATAGGGGATCTTTTAGAAAATATCGGTGTCCTTCATAGCAGTGCTTCTGTCTTTTGTGCCTTTTGCAGAACTAAAAATGAATCTGCCACTCATGTCTTCTTACATTGTCCTTTTTCATGGAAAGTATGGTCTGATTTGCTGCTATGGTGTGGGTGTTTTTGGGTGGTGCCAAGGTCTATTGATTGTTTATTTCATTGGTGGTTAGGTTGGAAACATAAGAAATTGGTTAGGAGATTGTGGAGGGCCTTACCTTCTATTGTTCTGTGGTCCATTTGGAAGTTAAGAAATGATTGTATATTTAATGGAGTGCAGCCTTGTGGGTCTGAGTTAAGTGAGCTTATTAAGTTGAGATTTGCTCTGTGGGTTAAAGCTTCTGCAAAGGGGTTCATGTACTTTGTCTTGGATTTAATCAACAATCTGGATCAAATTAAGGACTGTAGTTGAGGGATATTAGCTGGTTTGGTAACTTGGTCTGCCGTCACTTGGTTTGCTATTATATGGTTGGTTTTCTGCTGTGATCTGCTCTGTTATCTGCTGGTTTCTATTGTCTCATGTTGTCCACCATGGTGAGCTGTTTAGCTATTTTAAGGCTTGCTGGGGAGGTTGTTATGAGGTCTTGGGTGGCATTTTGGAGTTGTTGATATAGATGTTGTTATGCTGTTTGCTCATTAGGCGACACCTACTTCAGTTGACTGAGTTTTGTATTGCACGAAGATTCTTTTGGTCACTTCTAGGCTGCTAGTTCTGTTGTATTTGTATCAGTGCTGTCATACTTGCTAATTCTGGTTTAGTGTTGTTGATGTATCTGTTGGTCCCTTACCAACAGATTCTTGGTTGGTGTTGTCATATGATTGTATGGGTAACTTAATGCCAACCTTGTTGGGATTAGGCGGTTTCACTGGCCTATACACCATCTCTCTCTCCCTTCTTTTTTTTCCCCTTTATTGATGTCTTATTTCCTTTCTTGTAAGGTTTTCTCTCATCAATAAAGTTTTTGTATTAATCAAAAAAAATGATTAGAGCATGCATGTTAAGAGTGTTGCAATTGACAATTGTTGCTTATCGACAATTTTGTAACAGTCACTAACCTAAAGTGTTGTAAACATTTTACAGGTTGCTTTCCCAGTCTTGGAGTATTTGGAAATTCAGAAATTGCCTACCATAATAGAGATATGGGACAAGCAATTACTCATAGCTTCAGAAAAAGAATCAAAGTCCTTCTGCCAATTAAAAGATATGACAGTTTTTGATTGTGAGAAATTGGTGCATGTGGTTCAGTTCAATATGCTCCCACGACTGCAAAATCTGAACATATTCAGGGTAGATAATTGTCCAAAGGTGGAATCGATAGTCTCAGAGAAAGAAAAAGAAGAAGGAACCGCCAATAATGATATTATCGGGTTATCTCAATTAACGAAACTTACTCTTCAGAATTTGATAAGCCTTAAAAGTTTTTACAACCGGTCTACAAGATTTGAAGCACAACCCTTGTTCAACTATCAGGTTTGATTTTCCTAATTTATTTTATTAACCTTAGCCATGGAAAAGCGTGCACACACACAAAAAAATTCAAAATTCTTATTCAATTACAATTTTAAATTTGAAGCTTATTTGAATATTCTCTTTCTATCCAAATCCAAATAAAAGTAAAATAATTTCAAGGTGGCTATGCTAGGAGCTTACAATGGAAATTACAATATTACCCAAACAAAAATATGTATGAATTCTAAATTTAGCACTATGTTTTTATTTTGAATATGAATCTTAATATGATTTTATTTGACTAAAATTTTGTCCAAAATTGTAATTTGCCTAATCTTGATTTGGAGTTCATTAAAAAAATATTTAAATATTGGATGTCATATTTTGTTTTTTTGGTTTTGACTGATATGATTTTATTCTGTTTCACAATCCAAAATTATTCCCTCATAACCACTTTAAATTTAGATTGCAATTTCCCGATCATCAATCCTCAATTGCCTTCTTTTGGAATTACGCCTCTTGGGTTTTAGGGAAATGATATCAATTTCTACATGATTCCTAGTTGTAATATTTGAATATGCAAAAATCACTATTATAATTTCTTCTAAAACCTCAAACATATTGAGCAATCCCTATTATAGGAGGTCACAAATCAACTCCCACAACTTTACCATTATGAAAATGTTAACTTGCCCCTGCCCAAAACATCTTAGGAAACTTCTTGGAAGTTCAATCTCGACCATTGATTCAATTTTAAAACTACATTAATTGATGGACTATGCATGCTGGCTTGAGTTGTTACTAGCAATTAATCAATAACAGCTTAAAGCTCAATCTTCTCTACTTTAGTGCTATATTTATTAGGGGCCAATCTTGCTATATCAATGTCAAGAACACAAAAACTAACAGAAATTATTTAATGTTCTAGGAGCCAAAATGTTATGTGTTAATTTGTAAATGGAATAAAGCAACCCTCCAAACACTAAACACATAATGAAATATAGATATCATATAACGGGTGAGATCCCAAGGATGGATTTAGGGGGTGTGGATGGAGGCGACCGCACCCCAAAAATTTAGAATATATCATATATTATGTTAGAAAATTTAAAATAATAAGGATTTACACCACCAAATATATGTGAGATCTACCTTTCATGAGATATGTGTATCTCATTTTTGTTTTGTTTAGTCAAGCCTTCGCCATGCTATGTGGCAGCTTTATCTAGCCTAAAATAAAAAATTGTAATTCAAACATGTGATCAAAGTTTGATCCCAAAACTTTGAGATTCGTTAAAAACAATCTTGCCACTTAGGCAACATACATATTATGATATTAAATTCTGTATTATTTATTTTTATTCTTACTTATCTACATTGCACACGCATTGCGTGTGTCACTTGCTAATCATTATTTACATGATTTATCATATCTAATAAACAAATCTGTACATATATATATATATATATATATTGAACATTTGGATATATATTTAGAAAGACAGAGGGAAATAAAAAAAAATTAATTTATATTTTATTGACATTGCTCTTACATTTTTTTTTTCAAAAAATCTTTACTTAAATTTATAATCCATACGTAAAATAAAATTTTGGCTCATCAATATGAGAAACACGTCTCATCAATCATCACTGACGTTGAATTCCAATATACAAGCCTACTTCATTTTGTTATTAAGCAAGATGCCAAAAATGAATCTTTGCAGGTTTCTTTTCCAAGGTTGGAGACATTAATTCTCAATAATTGTGTAAACTCAAGAGAGATACATCCTTGGAATGTTCAGGCTAGCAAAATAAGTTTAAAATTCTTGGGCGTAGCAAATCTGAACAAATTAATTGTGAGAAATTGTAGTGAGGTGGCAGAGGTTTTTCAACTTGAGGAGCTAAATGTTGGAGAAGGACAACATGTTAGGCCATTAATTGAAGTAAGAATGATGGAATTGGATGCATTACCTCAGTTGACATGTTTGTGGAACAAGGATCCCCATGGAATTCTGGGCCTTCAAATCCTACAATACCTGACAATTAAGAAATGTTCCCTCTTGAGAAAGCTATTCACATGTTCCACAGCCATGGCTCTTCAACAACTTAAAGTACTTTATTTGGAGTCTTGTCCGGTGATGGAAGAAGTTATTGCAGCAACAGAGGATGGGCTCAAGGAAGTGATTGATGATGTGATTGAATTCCCAAAGTTGGAGTGGCTAATACTGAAAGATCTACCAAACCTCAACAATTTCTGTAATGCGAAATATAATTTTAATTTGCCATCATTACAAAGAGTTGTTCTGAAGAGGTGTCCGAATATGCACAACTTTACTTTTGGACAAGTACGCATGTCACAGATATTTGTAAGTACACATGGCAATGATGGCCTTCAAATAGAAGATCTCAATAAGTATTTAAAGGAACGACTTCTTTTGAAAGGAGAGGTAGACTTTCTTTTTCAACTTGATCTACGGTTAATTATTTTTGTCAGTTGATTAAATCTTTTATCTTTGAATATTTACAAGAGACTACTCAACTGGAGTGCTTCATATGTATTTTTTATTTATATGTATTTTACTTTCTTTTCTTTTAGGAATGCGCAACCGTGGATGAAAATGATCACCGCTGCGACGAAGTACGGTTCTCCTACCTTGAGCGGCTATAGGAGTAAAGTAAGTTGATCATCCTTTATTATTAATATATATGTATAAATTTCATAATATTTATAGGAAAATTTTATAATAAACACGTTAAACGTCCAGTTATGATTTATCAGCTGAATATAATAAGTTGACCCTCCTTTATCAAAAATAAAAAATAAAAAAGGCAAATTACGACGGTGGTCCCTATATTTTACTTCTTGTGTCATTTTGGTCTCTATACTTTCAATTAGCTCAATTTTAATTCTTAATTTTAGACTTATTTTAGTTTGTCCAATTAAAAATATTGTTAGTTTTTTAAAGGAAAATTATCACTAAATTGATTGAGGTTAACTAACTGAGTTGAATAAGTTTTTAATTTTAGCCTTAAAAATATGGCACGTGACACGTACATGCTTATTTTTACAAAAAAAAAAATGTTAAGAGTTGTAATCAATTGGATCAAATTGAAACAAAATCATAAATTCAAGGTCAAAATCAAATGAATTGAAAGTTCAAAAACTAAAATGACACAAGGGGTAAAATATAGGGACTACTGTCGTAATTTGTCCAAAATATATATAGAGAGAGTAATGCTACCATATACAAGTTATGTCATTTGTGAGTTTAATTATCACAGATGACATAACTCAATAGTATGAGAATCATAACAAATAATAATAATAGTAATAATAATAATTTGAGTTAAAACTAAACATCATATAAGGTATAATCAAACAACTCTTGAATCATAACAAAAATGATCTCATAAGCAATATCACAATGTGTCATAATTAACAACACAAGGAGGCATAACCAAAGACACAAAAGTGTAAACCAAAGCATAGAATTTCCCTATATTGTATATATACATATCTCATAATATTTATAAGGGAATTCTATATAATACTTTAAAAAATGATGTATTATATGCCTGACTTTTTGTGGTCTTTAGTTATAACTCATTTAGTTATAATTACTTATAGATGTAATTTTGGTTATAATCGAAGAACTCTTTGATAATACCTCAAGTGATATTTGATTATGATGCATTTTGGTGTTGGTTATAACTCGTAATGCTGGCTATAATTTAGTTATAACTTACTGTAATTATTATTTGGGTTTGACCGGAGAATTTATTGGTTATATCTAAAGTGAGATTTGACTATGATTTATTACGGTCCTTCCGCTCATGACTGAAAGTTTATATTAAAATCACAAACAATATCTTAACTTTTTTTGAGGACAAAACAACATATGATATCAATTAATCTGCAAAAATGTTTTCTTACATCAATTGCAAGGTAGTGAGCAGATTGAATGACCTCTCTGTCTACCTTTTCTAGAGCAACAGAGTCAAAACCTCTACTACAGTGCATAATATCACTTAAAATAGATTGCATGTGGTACACTCCAAAATAGGAATGTGTATTGTAGAAGTTCTTTTCATTTGGCATGTTTGGTACAATTGGTAAGCTAAAAGTTTTTTTTGGATGGGTAATAAGCTAAAAGTTGAAAAAAAAAAAAAAAACACCCCCTGTAGACATCCCATTTTCGACCGACCTTAAGACTCAGCCGTTATCGATTGAGCGCTCGGTGATAGTGCATATTGTGCTCGTTTTGAGTTTTTGGAGTTTTGGTTGAGAGCCTTGCCTCCGGGCCTCTGAACTCTTTGTGCTTTGGCTCGGTTTGTGGACCAAGCCTTGTTTCTATTCCTTGGAGGGAGGGAGAGGTCTTTATATATCTAGACAGGTAATTGATAGAATCATTGGCAGCCAGCAAACCTTTTCCCTATTAGGACACTCTCTGTTACCTTGGTGCAACTTGAGTTCAGGTTAACTCTGTTACTGTAGGCTATGTTAAAAAATCATGAATTTGTGGAGGGATTGTGGATTCAAATAATTAAAAAAATGAAAAAAAGAGAGAAGAAAATGAAGTAAAATAAACAAAATTTATTTAATCTTTTGTTTTTTGTTTTTTCTCTTGATAAATATGCAATGTAGAAATTAATCATTCCAATCATAAAATAAAGTAAAAAAAAAAACACACACACACACACACATAACACAAGATATACATTATACATTCTAGTCCCCTCCCGTCATAAAAAAAACTCCTGACAATAAATCTAAACATCTAGTAAAAAATAATAGATACCTCACAACAAAATTCAAAATCCAAACATAATGTTAAGATTTGAGTACCTTTATTAAAAATTTACTAAAAAAGAAAACTAATCAAAAGATACATGTACATATTAATTCAATAAGCGAAATTATTTGAATTTTTATTTTATTTTTCACAAATCGCTTCTCAAATGCAAAATCTAAAAGTCCATAATAAAATTAAAAAATTTTGAATTTTGTTTTCTTAAATGATTAAATTCAAAATGCTTTTTGTAATTATAAAATCTCCATGCATCTTCCAATAATTTTTTTTTGTATATTTTGTTTTACTTTGACTGCATCAATATTTTGGTGTGCAGTTATATATGATCGAGTTCAAGTTGCTGAGATTGGAGTATGCTGGATTACCCTCTTACAGCCAATGGCAAACTTATTGTTTCTTCCAATAAGTTAAAAAGCAAAAAAATAAACATAAATTGCAAAACTATTCAACTACCTATAGTTGTATAAGAAATGATATATATATGTGTGTGTGTGTGTGTGAATATGTGCGGTAGTAATATCATAATACTCTATCTTGCTGATGTGATAGAATTTGTATGATTTTGGAGGCTGGGTGTGCTAATTATGTGGGATATACACTTGCAGGGTATTTTATTTATTTATTTATTTTTGTTGGGATTTTATTATTATTTTTTTATCAACAAAAAAACACCAGCTATTTTGTTGGGATTTCATAATCATAATTCTATTGAAAGAAACATGGATGAACATGTTTTATAATTAGGCTGGGTAAACTAGCTAGGCCAGGGAGAAATATCGTCAATCCATGTTAGCTAAGACTCACCATGGAGATTGGTAACAAATTTATCCATAAAAAAAGATACTTGCATAAAAACAGATCTTAGAATGCGCTAGTGAATATGATATATATATATATATATTCACTATATATGGGGAGTGCTGGGGGCTTATTGTGTATTTGGAACCCTAAAGTTTTCATGGTGTTAAGAGTGTTGCTGCGGCAAGCATTTCATAGTGCTCTTAGGTATGACTTCTGATCTTTTTGAGTGTGTGATTTCAAACATTTACGCACCCAATGATGTTTATAGTAGAGGTAAGTTGTGGGATACACTTGTAAGGATTAAAAATGATTTTCAAAAACCTTGGTGTGTTGAAGGGGATTTTAATGAAATCAGGCATCTATCTGAGATAAGACTATATAAAAAAAAGATAAGGGGATGAGAAAGTTTGGTAACTTAATTGAAAAATATGGAATTGGATGATTTACCAACGGTAGAGAGAAGCTTTACATGGTGCAATTCACTTGATGGGGAGAGGTAGAGTAGGATTGATAGATTCTTAATTGATCCTAAGTGGCTGGAGAAGTTTAAGTTTCCGTTGTGGGGTTTGCCTAGGGATGTATCAGATCATTGCCCTATATTACTTGGGAAGGATGATAGGAATTGGGGTCCTAGATGTTTCTCATACTTCATAGTATCACTCCATTTCCAAATATCTCTACAACAATATCAATTTACCACATTTTTCAGTTCTTCTCCTCAATGTTATTTTGCAAAATAACCATGCCATCAATTTATAGCAACAACACTCTCTCATCATGCCCAATTCATAACAAGTTAGCCTCTTCAAGGCTACATGTGATGTTTTCAACATTAAACTCTAAGATTTTACAATTCACACATTCCATGGTGCACAATCATTTGTCACCTCACAACAATACATGTCCAAACATTTAGTAATAATGTTAAAATATCATCTCATTTCTCATGTAACGAGTAGATGACTATTTTACTACACATATGATGAAGTTACTCTCATTTCTTCTCTTGGCACAAGAAAACAAGAATTTTGATAGGCATTTCCTTATTTTTCCAAAATTCCCAATTTCCTAGGGTTTTCATCAAAATCAAACATTTCCCATTCCCCTTAAAGAAACTCTATCAACCCATCTTTCTTGAGTTAATAAATAGGCAAACCTACTAAGATTAGTAAAAAGATTGAGATATAAACCCACTTTAAAACTCTCCACATTTTAGATTCACAAAATCAAAATCAACACAAATACTTCAAGGGAACTTTTAAATCAACAACAACAATGCAAAACATGTATATATAACTCAAGAAATCCCTACCTCAAAGTTTGATGAAGAGGAGAAGATGAAACCCTAACTTTAAAGATGAGAAAGAGCTTTGATTACACCACACCAAGTGAAGCTCTAGTCCTAGATCTTTAAGATTGTGAGAGATGATGATGATTTAGACCCAAGGATAGCAAGAATCAAAGTGTTTTAGTATTTTTGTGAGGGTTTTCTAGAGAGGAGGAGAAAATAGGGTTTAGAGTGAGATAGAGAGGCCCTAAATGTGATACAAATTCGGCCAAATGACATAAAAAAATAGAGTTTCGAACTGCCCATCTATCGCACGTGCGGAGCGCCTCTTCCCACACGTGCGACCCTTCTCCTCGCACGTGCGGGGGTTCCCCGCACCTCAATCCGCACGTGCCTTTTAGGCAGTGTGCAACACTCAGAAGTCCAGCCCTCGCCGCACGTGCGGCCCTAGCTCAGCAGCCCAGAAAATTCTGGTTCGATCCCTGGGCACTCCGGATCGACCGAGCACCCCCCCCCCACCGGGGAACAAATGAAATTCAACACTGAGCGGAAACAAGAACAAGAACTTAAATTTTGAGAACTATTTCTGGATGTTCAAACCTAACGAAAGCTGAAGGTGGACAGAGTGAAAAAGAAAGAAAGCAAAGAAAACAAGGACTTAATCATCACAACACATTCAGTTGAGAGTAAGAAAGAAGAGGGAGAGAGTGAACCTTGGTAGTGGAGGAGAGGAAAAGAGGAGAAAATTGTGCATGCAATTCACCTAACTTCAAGTAAGCCACAATACAACTCTCTCTTTTATTTTTCTTTTTCAAATACATGTTATTAGAAGTTTAAAAATAATATTTTCAGATGTGTTTTAATGGTGTTCTTGTGTTAAATTGAAAAGAATTGAGTCTTATTCTACCCTTGTGTTTTCTCTGAATCAGTGCAAAACTATCTTTTTCTACACCTATCTCTCATAATTTCTAAAGGAACACCTTCAATATGAATTTCTGAGTTTAATATATACTATTTAGCATGTTTTTATTATAAAACAAGTGAAATTATCTTTGGTTACCCTCTTTTCTTACCTTCTCTTTTATTTCAAGCTTTGTGCTCAAAGAACCAGCTTTTCAGGCAACTTGTGAAAATTCTAGAAAAATGTAGAAAAATTTTCTTGACCTAATTTTTATGTCAAAAGCTTCCTTAAAGGGTTAGCTTTCAAGTAAAATTGGTTTCATTGAAAAAGAGTTAACGGTTTGAAAGAAAATCTGATTTGTGTAATGATCAACGAATCTGGACAGCGCTGAAGTATTTATTGAAGAACTAAAAATCTAGAAAAGATATCCCACTTTCGAAAAATGTTCTGAAAACTAAATAAAATTTTGTACGAACCATAAAAAGGCCAAGTTCGAAAAAAAACTAAAATGGCTCTTTTTTAATCCTTAAATTTATTTTTGCACTGGTGTTCTATGCTCTTATCTTCATGAATGTACTTATTAGTTTATGATTATGTCTTGGTATGATATTACATATGCCATGGTTATATATATACCTTTTATTTTAGTCCTTTGATGATGCTTATACTTATGCAAATTTATTTATTTATATTTTTTTTGTTTATGCTAACTAATTTGAAACATTAATCTAAACGAAGAACCTAATGGGGTGGCTAATGGAGTTTCGATCATATCATTATTATTATGAGATAAGATTATGTTTAAATTGAATTGGTTAGCAAGACATGTTCCCTTTTGAAAGGTAAAGTCTTGCGGAAGTAGTTGTTTTGGAATCCTAGGTGATTTTGGTGTGACAAGATAATGGGCAAGGTCCTTATTTTACCGTATCTTTTGCGGACCTCGATTGACACTACGCAATATGTAACTGTTGGTAAGCATCCGGAGTAAGATCTACAAAGTAACAAAAGAGGAAGCAAACTGAATAATCTATGTCCGATTCTTGTGATTGAGAGGATAAAATCTCTTTAGAAAATTTCTAAACTATTAACAAGTAACCTTGTAACCTTTGTTATTTACTTAAATATCATCTTTCTTTCCCCTATTGTTGTAATTCCTATTGTGTATTAGATTAGGAAAAAAGGACGTGATGTGTGTGCGTTTATTAGACATTCAAAACTCAGTGTGTTTCATGCCAGGTATCGAAAAAACATACGAACCCGACGAAGCGCAAGAGACATTTGAAGACTTGTGTTTGTTTTAGAGAAAGTTAAAAGTCATTTTGCTTGTGAGTCTATTCGTGCTTTTATTTATTATTTTTTTCAATTATAATAGTAACAAAACTCATTTTGTAATTTAAGTAAGATAGAAGAAAATTGAGGAAATGGTTAGTGAAATGCCCTAAAAGCTAAAGTTCTTTCTTGAATAAGAATGAGAATATGCGGGATTTACACCAAGATGCCTACATAAGGAAAAAAATAATATTTGCATTAATCTTAATTCACATATATACAGGATTGTACAGTAAAAATTTCAAAACACATAAATTAGCTTAGATAGGAAAGAGAGAAAATTTTAAAATATTCTAAAACCCCGAAAGAAAATCAACGAATAAGAATGGTCCCATTGCATGTTGAAGAAATTATGAAATCCTAATAATTTCAGTTACAAATAGATTACATACACATGCATGTATAGTTATATAAGTAGTAATCTATTATTTAGAAGGGGGATACGATCGTATGACAATAATTGATTTGAATAATAAAATGTAAATAAGATAGAAACAAAATTATTAAAGGTTTCACATTTGTGTTTGCTTTTTTACATATATGCACAAAGATTTTTTGATTTATTCTTTTAAAAAAAA